TGCTATAATGGCAAAGTTGAGTAGCTGCAAAAGAGAATATATGGCCTAAAGTATTCACTATCTGCCCTTTGTAAAAGTTTGCTAACACATAATTTAGAAAATATCTTCCAAAAGGAAGTTGCAGATATCTTAATGGGTGTCATGAAGGCTCTATGCCTCTATTTGGGCGTAGACATAGTCCCTATACTCCTTACTTCTCAGTACCCAGGTTTTATCTACTCTGCCAAATGACTCACTCTACAACTCATTTCACCAAAATAATAAAAAACGCTAAACATTGTCAGGGCAGTAATTCCAAATTTGAGGGGAAAATACTAACTCCAAATAAAATTAGTACTTTTCACCTCACCAAGTCAACTCCTTACAAAGCAATTGCACTTAGTTATTACAGTATCCAGATTAATTGAAGGGAAATATCATTGGGTTGATCAATTGCTATTTTGCTCTTTACTCCAGTCATTAAAGAAAACCACATTAAAATGGCAATAAGGCTATGAGGACAAAAGCATATTCCCTACCAAAGGCACTCTCTAACATCTAAGAAAAAATGTCATTATAGGATCATAAATCTCTCACACAAAAGCTGACACCTATAATCTAATTTTCTCAAGTCATCAATGTCACTAGACCGAGTGAGCTGGTTCTATGACAGAGTGCCCAGTTAAGAAGGGTAAATAGCTGAAAGGAAAGTTCTCTCCCTCTTATCACAATTCTCCAGTCCATTATCTGTTTATCTTCAGCGTCCCAGAAAAAGGAAAAAAACCTTTAGAGAAATGGAGTGGAGGTAGCAAATCAAACTCCAGTTTAGAATTTTTATCTCCACAAATAGCATGAAATGATGTGACTGTTGGAGGCAAAATCCTCCAACAGTCCTATATTTAAAAATTGGAAAGCCCTGAAGCCCATATTTGTAATTAGTTCACAAGACTACAATTTACCATTAAAGCTCAATGATTACATTTCAAGAAACTAGTAAACCTCACTTTAAAGATTAAATGAAATCAGATTATCAAGCTTAGTTCATAACTGAGCATAACGCCAAGTAACTGAGGCAGAGATGAAACAGCTGCAAGAACTCAACCAGATGTTTCACACCATACACAACCATTTAGAATAGTATGTTTAACCTAATATGTAATTTAAAGAATATGTACTACATGCTACCGGAGTTCCTGTTGGATAACGTGGTGTTAACAATGGTGAAATAACAGCTAATTTATGGAACACCTACTATGTGCCCAGGATTTACACCAGGTGCTCTTCGTGATTCTTTTTATCCTCGCAATTAACTCTATGGAATAGATATTACTGTCTGGAGAGGTTAAGTATCTAGATTAAGGTCACAGCACAGAAGGGGGAAAGCCAGGTTTCTAATACAGGTGTGACTATGTCCACCATACTGCGCATCAATACATTAGAGTCACCATTTTGAAGCTCTCCAGTGACGCCAACGTGCAGACAAGTTTGGGAACCACTACTATGTGGGCTCTTACATACACCAAGTTAGGACACTACTTACTGCATTGAACATGCCACAGCAGTGACCTTACAACAGACCTAATGATTTGACACATTATAAGCTTCAATCATTGTGCCCGATTAGGTTTCTACCAAATATTACATAAGGATAGGTGGAGTGAATTTACATGATAAATTAAATGCCAGCAAGTGACTAACTGCATAAATTGTGTCTCACAAATAAACAAGAAAAAATCACAATTACAAAACCTTTTCAAGTAGGTAATTACTGAAGTATGCATTCCCAATCCAACTATAAAATTCTCAGGTCCATTTGTCCCACAGTGCCTATAAATTATATAATAAAACCACCACAGCTCTCTTTGGAGCCCCATCATTTTTGTAAGTTCTAGCATTCAGCCCCAAGGCAAGAAAATAACATTACGTAGCCAAATAGAATACACTCCAAGTGCTGCTTCTCTGCAGTACTTGGAGGCTTTTAGGGATTGTGCCATAGCTTGAAATGCCCTGCCCACCCGTCCCCAACAGCCAAGTATTCATAATAACCTCCAGAAACAAAACTGTTCAAAAGAAAAAGTCAAAATATCCAGCTCTCAATTAATGATATCGTATTATTTAAAAGTCCTAGTAACATATCCCTAAGTTTATCGTGTAAGCCAAAATAAAAACAAAAATCTCACTTTAAACTTCACAAGTGTGTGCCTTTTCTAACCCAGGTATCTAGATTCTAATAAAAGTACATTTTAATAAAACATCTTTTATAAAGTTTGTGAGATTATGGAGCATCCAAATAGACTCTGATGTCAGGTTAAATTATGTTTTTTTGGTCAAAAACAAGTCATTTATGACATATTCCTAAATAAGTTTAAAATATGTTTATATAACCAAATTCATATTCTAACAACAGTACATATAAACACTAGAAAAAAGAACTAAAAATATTATGTTTAGATATCAGGCCCTTTAACATAGTGAATTTTAATTGTTAATATAAATCTATGGTTATCAATGATTTTTTTTTTAGGTTAACACTTCTGTATCTATTTCAACTTTAACAGAAATATATTTATGGAAATAAAAATTATCCTAATCCTTATCTTAATATAAAACAAAGAATTTTTGAAATCCTATTTTAAACCCATTACCATAAGAATTTTTCCCATTAATTATATTTTATGCCAAAAAGAAAAGAATGCTGGGGCAGGGGGGTAGTAGTAAGAGGGAAGGATTACACAGGAGGGAACACCAAAAACTTATGGAGATGACAGATATGTTCATTACCCTGATTGCAGTGATGGTTTCACAGGTCAAAACTTATCAAATTGTATGCTTTAAATATGTAGTTTATGTCAATTTATACCTCAATAAAGTGGTTTGTAAAAAACACTTGCAGAGAAGCTGAGTTTGAAGCAGCCAAAAGTACTTCTTTTTTCAGACTTCCATGGCCTGAGTTCAGCAATTTCAAACTAGATGTACAATTTAACTAGTTTCTGTACTTGTGGGATCCCCTCCAAATATGAACCAAACTCTTTACCACCTGCCCATTACTTAGACAGCAAGTTAAAATTATCCTAAGCTTTAACAGTTCTATCAAAATACATTTGTATGGCCCCACCTCCTCAATAACCAAACTTGTTAATGCTATCATTTAACATGTAGAATAACCATACCACTGTACCCTTACCATGCTTATAAAAGGTAAACTACTGAACACTTTCCATATCACAATGCACGAACGCACAATAAACATTCAACTGCTGATAAACGGGAATTAAGGCAAAAAAATTATTTGATGCCAGAAAATAAAAAATTACAGAATTTTTTCTGAAAGCTATTTAGAACACACAATAAGGTAGACTTTAAATGTAAACCACACTTCTAAGGTTCCTTCTAGCTTGTGTTAGCAAATACAGTTTGCATCTAATAGATTTCATTAATCTATTAACCAAATAGTACAATCTAAGAGTCCAAAAACATTCAACATGTGATACTGACAGAGCTTTGTCAAAGCATACTTTAGGTTCTCTGTGGCTAACGCTACATTTAAGTGACTGAATTGACTTATGGCGTATTACATAATAAAAGTGTATTTAAAAAAACAGGAGAGGGCCGGCCCCGTGGCTTAGCAGTTAAGTGCGTGCGCTCTGCTACTGGCGGCCTGGGTTCGGATCCTCGGCGCGCACCGACGCACCGCTTCTCTGGCCATGCTGAGGCCGCGTCCCACATACAGCAACTAGAAGGATGTGCAACTATGACATACAACTATCTACTGGGGCTTTGGGGAAAAAAAAAAGGAGGAGGATTGGCAATAGGTGTTAGCTCAGAGCCGGCCTTCCTCAGCAAAAAAGGAGGATTAGCACGGATGTTAGCTCAGGGCTGATCTTCCTCACAAAAAAAAAAAGGATATATTTAAAAATTTGTTACCACTCTAACTCATCTTCAGTTTCGTGGGGCTGAAATTGTGTTGTTTTAATTTCAGGATATTGAGGCAAAAACACTGCAGCCTTCTAAGAAAACACAATTTAAAAAAAAAACTCTGAGGATTAGCTCAATCTCACATAAAACCTAAAACATTTTTGCTTTAGAGATTATGCTCTTTTACATTTATAAGGTATTTAAACATTGGAATGGGATGGGGGAAGTAAAAGCAAATGCGTAAACAAAACCAGAAAAATCAAAATACAAATATATAGAGCCAAATTACTCTTCCAGTCAGCAGTAAAACAGAAATGACTCTAAAATTAACGTGCAAATAAAAAATAAAGTGGTTGTTTAACATTCATTCATTTAATAAACTTGTTAAGCAGTTGATAATAAAAAGGTTATTTTCCATAGCTTTTTCTAAACTCAAAGAGTAACCACCATCTTTAATAAAGAGAGTATAACTTGGTTTTAATAAGTGAATAAAGCACATTGTGTTTAGAGACCAATACCTTGAACACTACAGAGAACGACAATATTCTGAAAATCCAGTTTATTTTCCATGTTGTGGACAGATCCAGTCAGTGTGATCAGTTTTCCTGCGTGTGTAATAATTTATCAAAATAAGTTTTCCCACAAGACTCTTCCATCAACTCTGAAAATCCTGGTCTGACAACATACCCAAATAAAGCTCTTGAAAATCACCTCTTAAAATTTGGAAGAAAGTGTGGCAAGTCTTTCCTGTAACATTTACTGAACTACAAATGGCTAAAGAGCAATTCATGTTTTAAAAGGTGACTAGTACACAGCTGAATTCAGGAAATTAATATTTTAGTGCACTTTGCTCCAGTTTTAGCCAACATGCTACATTGTCCTTGGGGGGGG